GAAGAGCNGCATAAGGTGCCATGCCAACAGCCGTGCCATTGGCCTCTCCAAACACGCTAGCACCTTCCACAAAATTTCCAGCAGCGGTGCTAGAAGTGTGGGTGCCATGGCCAACGAGATCAAATGGATTTCCTGTAATATTCCCTTCTTCTGCACCAACGAAATTTTGTGCACCAATGAGCTTGTTGTTGCACACTGTTCCATTGAAGTCGCACTTGCCCTTCCATGTAGCTGGAGGCGGGGATACTCCTTCATCACTGAATGAAGGATGATCAGGTCCAATGCCTGTATCCAAGAGTCCTATTATCAAACCTTCACCGTAATTTGCTTGTTTCCATAGTCCGTATCCTTGGTGTAACCCCAAGAAGTCAGGACTATGAGTAGTTAGCAAAGGAACCGTTTTCTCGATATGAGCCGACAAAAACCCTTCTTTGTTTTCCATTGCTTTCACTTCCTCTGGTGTCAGTTTAGCTGCAAATCCAGTGACCACACTGCGGTAGGCATGAACGATCCTCTGCTGGTTTAAGTTTGATGTAGTTTCAGGCAAAAATGACTGATACCAACTATCTAAATTTGATTCTTCAGAAAATTTCGAGGAGGCCGGCTTTTCGAGAAAAACAATGTAAGTTTGGAGGCTATTTTTTTCCTCTTGTGCAACTGCCTTTGATAAGTAAAACATGATCAAAGTAAAACCAAGAAGATATATGACATGCGTTGGTGCACCTTTTTTGTTCTCCATCTTTTAATTTGGTTGAAAGAAGAACTTGGAAGTAAAAAGATGTGTTAGTCTACCATTTAAGTACCTATTTATATTAGATAATTTTGATTAGTAGAGATAAAAATGTGCTGGACTTAGTAATACTTGCAGGTGGTGGCGATGGAGCTTATGTGACCGTTCTTGCATAGTGCGTTGCCAACTGGTTTATAATTCTTGTTAAAACCTTAAGGATCCATTCAATAATAATTTGTTAGATACAAACATAGTAACCTCGAACAGCGACAGCTGCAAAAATTCATTCTTGAGAAGTATTCTAGATGTTATAAATGTATTGTTTCCAAATATTAAATTCAAATCTGGTCAGTGACTCATACACCATCTTTATCCTGCTACATAACTTTGTGTATTTTTTGTCATCGAATTGAATAAATCATAAAAAAAATTAACAAAATTAAACAAAGGTATGTAGGAAGTGAAAAAGCGTATTTATATATTGAGTGTGTAATTACGTGTTTCATGGCACCATTTTCATCGTTTGCAAGGATTAAGCAATGAAATTGTATTAACTAAGCATATAAAGTGGCGTCACAGTCCACATAACCCTCTAAATTCGATGTACATATATTAAAAGTAGGAGAGAATATTTTTTTAGGAGACTAGAATAGGATAGAAATAAAGAAAAGTTTTTCTTTCTAATCCTATCATTTTGGGAGGGATGAAATTAGTAATTTACTTTTATACAATTTCATAGGTCAGGATGAGTCGGATCAACACCTAAACCGTAAGCTAACCCAACTAGTTAGGCCATTATTTTGAGAAGACCTTACTCCCACTCATCCAACCCAACTAGTTTTGGTTTGGGTTTGACGGGTTTGCGAGTTGAATATGGACTGAGTTTTGAAAATCTTGAGATTCTTAGAGCATAGGTCTTTTAGGCCATTTCCAACCAAAAAGTGCTAAACGTAGCCTCATCCAGAAATATAAAGGTCGTACCCAGTGCACAAGGCTCCCGCTTTACGCAGGGTCTGGGAGAGATGAATGTCGGCTAGCCTTACCCCCATTTATGGAGAGGCTGCTCCCAAGTCTCGAACCCGAGACCTATCGCTTATGGGCGAAGGCACTTGCCATCGCACAAAGTGCGACCTCTCTCATCCAGAAATATAGCTTGCAAAAAATTATTTTTACATAAACAGTGTCAGACCATACTCATATACTATTTCCAATCGAATGAGCTAAATATAGCCCACTCAATAATTTATTAGTATTAAGTTTATACTTTAAATTTATTTGTTAATTAATTAAACTACGTTGGATGGTTTCAAATCTAGTCGGTGAATTTGAATCAATTATTGCAACTGAAGAGTTGGGTCCCAAAAAAGAGACTGAGAGGGGAACTACAATTGGCCAGCCTGATGCCCATATGGCCAAATAATGGCCTGATAGATTCCAAAGAATTATAGCCGAGTCATCGGTTGGAGGTGAATTTCTGGACAAATTAGGCCATTTTTTGACTTTTGAACCTTAAGCCATCTCCATTGGAAATGGCCTTAGCTCCTCTTGTTTCTTTCTTTTCTGTGTAGGTATCCCTGTCGCACTTACCCACAATTGGCCCAGCATACAGGAACTCTTCCTTCCTGGCTCATGTCTATATAGGACCACCCTCTTAAATTGAAAACAAGTACATTTAGAAACAAACTATTGAAAATGAAAATCCTAAATAAAATGGTTGGAAACAAGAAATGAAAAAAAAAAACGATGTGTGAAACAAAGTGAAAATTTGCATATGCTGTTAATGCTTGGTATGTATGGTATGGTATCAGTCGGGGAAACTAAAATGACTGATTTCGTCTAAATGATATTACAATTAATATAGGAAAGGATCTCCCAATTCTCCCTGGTGAAAGGTTTTTGTTCGTCATGATTTCCAATTAAAAAGCAAAAATTTACTTTCAGATATTCATTGGGTGATGCTTTTGTACTATAATTATCATCAAGGGAGGCTATTATTTTCCAGGCCGTAGAGAAATCATGAAAAATAATTTAAGAAAATCCTAAATAAAATCGTTGGAACCAAGAAATGAAAAAAAACAATGTGTGAAATGAAGAGAATATTACATCAGAAAAAAAGTTTCAATTTTTACTAATTTTTACCTAATTTTCAGTTTACTGCTATTATGATGCATATCATCTAACAATAAATTAGTCTTATACCTTTGTTTCTCTTTTCTTTGTTTTCATGAGAAATTAATTGTCATTAGCAGTGTTTGTACCATATTTAGGGTCTTTGTATTGAGACCTCGTATAAATACTCGGGGGACTCAAATCTAATTATGTAATAAATGAAGGGGCAAATATGTAATAAGTGAGGAGCCCTTATTCTATTAAAGGACTCCTCACTCTCCTCATTAGGGGAGGTCAAGGTTTAGGCCATGGGAAGAGAGAAAACATCTCAGAGAGGGCAAACACAGAAAATAGGCTAGAGAGCACACTGCCTCTAGCCTTCTTGTATATTCACAATTTAGAGTGAAACAATATCAACATCAGTGTGGACGTAGCCCAAACATTGGGGTGAACCACGATGCATCTTTGTGTTCTTGAGCGTTTGTGTGATTCACGACCGGATTTACATTGGTCCAAGATCCTCCGGATTTTGTGCATCACATTTGGTGCCGTCTGTGGGAAACGACACGAAAAGCTATGTCGTTTCTCTTTCATTTTTTCATCTCACCACCTTGAATCTGCAGAAACCCAAGAACCAAACACTTGCTCTGCCCGCTGGATTCTTCTTCAAAGTTCCTGCATCCTCCATTTGAAATCCAATTCTCGCGGTCGCAGAGGATTAGTGTAGGTTTCAGCGACGAGGCCGGCCGACGAGGTAGTGGTGGAGCCGTTGAATCAGATTTGCTGGGCTCAACCTGATGGTGAAGGAGCACAACCTGTTGACGGTGGATGAGCACAACTTGCTCAGCGTCGCCTACAAGAACGTCATCGGCTCGCTACGCATCCTCTGGTGCATAATCTCGTCGATCGAGCAGAAGGAGGAAGGCCGCTGCAACGAGGAGTACGTGGCATTTTTCAAGCAGTACATATCCAAGGTGGAGACCGAGCTTTCCGCCATTTGCGTCGAAATCCTGAAGCTCCTACAGTCGCACCTTATTCCTTCGGTTACCACCGAAGAGTCCAAGGTCTTACTTAAAGTACCTATGGGGCCCATTATAGAGAGGCAAAAATCTACCAGTCTGGAATAAGAACCAACTAAATCCCATATAAGACTATTCTTGGTCATCTTTATTACGTTACTGTCTCGTTCATCCTTTCCAAAAAAAAATGGCGCCACGTGTTGGCTAACCGAGTTCTCTCTCTCTCTCTCTCGCTCACGGGAACTGATAGGAGCATATTTATGCGACTTAGTGAGCTTGTTCTTGTGCATTTACGTTGTGTTTTCTTAGTTAAATTAGTCTTTTAAGCTATTTTCATGTGTTTTCAGGTTTTAAGGGCAAAGTATGCATGGAGCAAAATTGAGCTTGGAATGGATATCACATGCTTGGAACGAAAGGAATGGACGAGATTGAAGGAGTCCTAATTGAAGAAGGATTCCTAATCAACGGAGGAGTCCTAGTCAAAGATGGATTCCTAGAAGAATGAGGATTCCTACTCAAACAAGGTTTCCTACTTGAAGTAGAAAGTTAAGCCTAAAGTTTCTTATTTTGGGTCAACCTTTCCTAAACCTAGATGGCCTTAAGTTTAAGCAACATTGAAGGCTTCCTAAGCATTTTTGGACACAAAGAAAGGTTCTAGAACATTTTCCTATAAGTGTCTGAAGGATGTTTTTGTGAAAACATGTTCATTTAAGCAACATCATATAGCATGCAATTAACAATTAAAGGCGGAATCATGCTAGCATGAACTTAAAAACAAAACATTAACCAAGAAATTCAAAGCCTAGTAGATTGGTGAACCAAAACTCAACTCAAATCAAAGTGAGTTGAAATTTATACCTTTGTAGATTCCTCTTTGCATAAGCAAAGGCTAATCACCCAAAGAGAGGGCCTTCATTCCTTGCATCTAAAATCTATGGATTTGGATGGAAGAATAGGTTTCTCCAAGTTCCCAAAATTGAGAACCTCTAAGTCTCTTCACCAAGGAGAGATTGGAGAAGAAATGAGTGACCTTGGAGTAGTGGGATTGCAAGATGCACCCCCCAAGGTGGCCGGCCTCTTTAGAGAGAAATGGAGAGACAAGTTCTCACCAATTTTCTCCAAAAGAAAACCCTTTTTGAATTTTAGGCTATAAAGTCATATTTATACCTTTATTCATTTGAGAGTGGCAAACTTGTAAATAAGTCCAAGTTCACTACCCTTAGCATCATGGCCGGCCATTAGGATATTTTAGACTAATTGGGCCTTTGTGAATCATTATTCATTAAGTTGTCATACAACTTAAGTTAATGGGCTTGACGTTCGAAGCCCATTGGGCCTTAAGGTCCAAAACTATCCCGAGGTCTTTAACGAACTTATTCGTTTGATTAATTAACATATTAATTAATCCTTGCCATAAATAAATGATTAAACCATTTAATCATTCTTACTCATCTCCATTGTTTCTTCAATCTCCTCCTTACACGGTGTGCGATCCATTAGGTTCCTTTTAGCGAGGCAGTGGGCGATTAAAACCATTTTACATCGATTGTGAATTGAAACTTACTTTCAATTCCCCCTTTAGTGATTACACACGTTTAGGGCTTCCACAAACCATGAGTGACACCTTGCAGCATATCATGGTTACCCGAGCTAATCAGAAGAGGTAGAGAAAACCTATTCAGTTTGGGATTACAAATGCAATACGGTCTTTCTCTAATACAATACTCTTGACCACATTGTTTGGTTTGATAGTTTATTTATTCATGTCTACTATCCAATGTGATTCATGTGCTTATATGATTTCCTTGAATGTGATTTAGAACGACTTTTCTAAATCTCATTCATACTCTGGCCAGAGATTCTAAATGATATCATAGAGTATTCTCCCTCAAACGGTTTGAAGGTTAGAGATCCCTTGTTGCGCATTCACTTGCCTCCATGACTAAGTGGCTTAACCCCAACGATGCCGTGGACACCCTGATGGGGTGACTTTGACATAATCAAAGATCAAGGACTTAACCACAAGACAACTGTGATGCCTCAGGTCAAAGGACTAATTTGCATTATCCCAAACATGAGTTCTCATGTGACATGAGTATGAGAACTCTTCGTTGATCACGTTCAGTGAACTCATTCTCTATTGAGCACCTACGTACTTGTCTTGATGTCACACACACCAATGACTCGAGACTAGTCACTCTCCCTGAGAGAAGACATAGCACGTACCGATCTTGACGGACTGTCAATGCCCAATTGGCAATCCTATGATCAGGAACATTTAGGATGTGTCTACGAAAGAATGGTCTCATGAATCTAACTTCATTAGATTACATTCTTCCAATCACATATTCCTTGGATTTTATCGTTTAAGCATATAACATTTATATGAGACGGCTCAAACAATAATCTTTGCCCGTTATAGTTAAACTAGATTAGTTTAACATGCGAAATGTCCGTAAAGTATCATCATATGATTGGTTTTAGGGCACATTTCCAACAATCTCCCACTTGCACTAGAGCCAATCAACTTGGTCATCAGTGATGATACCTGTTCTGTAGTCATTTCATAAATGGCTGAATAGTAGGCCTAGACAATGGATATCTATATGTTATCCATAGAAGCAACCTTGAGAATAACGACGTCACCATTATACATGATTCTCAATCATGTGGTTCAGTCTCTCATATGAGTTCGGACCTTGATAAGACCTTGATTCCCTGGCTTGAGCTATCGCCCCATTAGTGTCATAGTGTCGATACACTAGATACACTTTCTGGTTGGAACCGAATAGAGAGTTCATGAATGAACTTTCAAATCCAAACAACATTGTTGTAAGCTTCTTTATGGCAATATATTTTGCATTCATAATGGAACACACTAAAGTCATTACTTTAATGTTTCCATCCAAATATCTCTTTAGTCATAATAAAGAGATATCCGTTTATCTCTTCATTCATAATGAAGAAACATCCAATGATGGATTAGATTCATAATCTAATACATTTACGCTTCCTTTACGTTACTCTAATTCTTCCTCGTTCTTTGAGGAATCTATCCTTTAGTATTTCTTAAATACTTAAGGATTCACTTGACAGTTGCCATGGTTCTGATCCTGGGCTTACACTGACATCGTCTTGTACCTGTTCTAGGTACAACTCATATCAATGTTTTTCATACAATATGAAATACATAAATCACCTTTCTGCGTATGCATAAAGGATTCTATTTACGCATTATTTCTTTGGGAGTCAAAGGGTACGTTCCCTTTGAGAAGAGCTACCTCCTAGTCTCACTAGAGTTGTTCTTCTGATTAAAGTTTATCATCATATGAGAAACTTCCTAGCATCTTTTGTCTATTATTAGGGATTGATATAATCAAATTATATCCTAAAATCTATCAATATAGATTTCCATCCCATGTATATAGACTATGTCTCCCATATACATTCTATCTTTATAGAATGTTTAAAGTCATAACTTTAACGAAGAAATATTCTTTTCATTTCCAAAATTAATATATCATATATACATTCATATATATCACATATATATATTTATATATATATATATATATATATATATATATATATATATATATCAAAATTTAGGAATATGATTAACTCCCACTAATCTTTTGTAAACCTAGTAAACAAAAGATTCATTTACATCTTTATGAGAAATCAAACGATTTGACCTTTCTCTCATAAGACGCTTATAGCTCCCACTAGCTTGCTAAGATCCATGATGGATGGATCTCTACAACTTACATGTCTTGTGATTCATAGTTTTAGACATATATTATCAAGACTATCTTAATAATGGTTTCGAAAAACCCATATATTATGTCCAAACATTGAATCACCATTTAGTGGTAGCTAGCAATCTTCGAATTAATTGAAACTAAGACTACGTCAAAAATGGTTCCTTCAAAGTCAACCATTCTCTTTGATTGTAGTCACCTTAAGCTACCAATTAGCTTATGAAGGTTTCATTATTTCGGGTCAAATGGTACTTTACCATTTCCTTGAGTATATATCATATATACACTCAATGTAGTCATAAGGATTTTCATTCTTATTTCTTTCGAATTAAGAGGTGCAACTCTATGACATAGTTATAAAGTTCAAACCATTCAACTGAGACGGTTTATAAATCCTTCTCGACTACCTTGGAGCTTTTGGTATAGGAGCTAGGTTGTTATATTGTTGATTAATTTCTTGTCTCTCAAAGAACCCATTCTTTGAGTTCTATCTCTCGTTCATTTGCTCTTAGGCAAATCACATTGTAGGATTACAATGAACTATCCAACAAAACAACATTTGTTAATTGGTATATAGAAGCGATATCCAAAAGTTAATTTAAGGATATCCTACAAGATTGTTATCAAACAAATATTGCTTATAAGCACACAACCCCAAATCTTAACATGCTTAAGATTTGTCTTTCTTTCCAACTACATCTTATGGAGTCATGAAAAATTTGGAAGATCTTCTAATTGACAATCATATTGTCTTAGAAGCATATATATCCTATATATGGGTAATTGATAATATCCAACGAACTAAATCTTATTCAAGTTCGTTCTTCTCCTAATGGAGAAATCTATTATCTTATGATGCTTCTTTCCTTGATATCTTTCAAGAAAAACTATTCTAAAGTGTTACCATTCCTTGGATCAAATCTAAGGATGTAAATACTTTAGACGTCTTACTCATCAACTTACATTTCTTGAATTCTTTGAAACCTTTTGCAAAGTATTCGGACTTGTGTTTATTTTAAAATAAATTATAGTCCAACCGAGGGTGATCTTCGGTGAATGTCATACAACATGAGTAGTATTATGTTGTGGACAAGTGCCACTAACATCTAAGTGAATTAACCTCAACAACTTTGTGATTCTTTATTCTTTCCAAAAGAATGAAAGATTCAAACATTTTGCCTCTATACAATTTTAACAAGAAGGCATTGGATCCGGATCTAACGATCCTAAAGTATCCATCTATGACTAACTTGTAATTTATGTTTTTAGAGGTATCACAACTTT